AATTTTTTTTTTTTAGAAAAAAAAAGAACTTGTCCAATTGTCCATTGTTTTTTAATTTGTATATAAAAAAAAAATTTGTGAACATTTGAACATTTTGCGAACACAAAAAAAAAAAATTATGATATGAAAATTATTGTTTTGAAACACGAAAAAAATTAACTATGAAAAACTTCGTACTTCGTATTACAAAAAAAAAGATTATTTTGATTATTTCATACTTTTAATTTAAAAGATTTATTTTTATTTTTTATTTTTCGGGTAAATAATTCTTTGTTATAAAATTCCGCGTGTTTAATCTGTTTGTTCGTAAACATAATAATAAAAAATTTAAACGTGCATTTATTAAAAATTTCATTTTTTTTTCTATTATTATTATTATTATGTTTATCCCTAAAAATATTTATATAACAAGATAACATAATTTCCTGTATGTACTATTTATTGCATAAAGATTTAAATCTTATTGGTTTAAAATGACCCAATTTTTTTTTTTTTTTTTTGAGTGTACACCGTTTTGTTTTGTTTTGAGAATTGCGAATTATTTACGCGGTGGCGTTTTATGTTTATTATTATTATTATTATTTATTACTTTCCCGAAAATCATGTTTAATTAACTACATTTTTTTTTAAAAAAAATTGATTCTAAGAACTTGACGCGTTTTATAGACGCGTTTTTTTAAATAATGATTGATTTTTTAATACATTTATAAAATTTTCTTGGATTAATTTAAAATTTTTTTTTAAATACATTTTTGGAATTTTTTTTTAATACATTTATTAATTTAAACTTTTTTTTAAATACATTTATAAAATTTTTTTTTTTAATACATTTATTAATTAAAATTAATAATCTAATATTATTAGAAAGAGAATAAAATAAAAATTTAAAAAAAGGAATGTTATATATAAAAAAATTTTATACATTTAACGTTAAATAATATAATTATTGTTCATTCGGGTATATTCATTATGATTTTTTACATTTTCTACATTTTTTTTCTTTTTTTTTTATATGTATATATTATTAATAAGAGATGAAAAAAATAAAAAGTTTAAAAAAAAAAAAAAAAAAAAGACTTTTTTTTTATACAATGAGTATATACTGTATATATAAAATAATTACTAAAATGACAAATAATAAAAAAAAATGTCATTTTAACCCAAGATTACTTCCCCCGAGATTACTCCCCCGTTTTTTTTTTAAATATGTATATAAAGTGTCTTTATAAAAAAAGTATGTATGCGAAATTATATGTAAAAGTGTGTTGTGTGAAAAAGTATGTGAAAAAAAAAGTATGTAAAAGTATGCGAAAAGTATGTAAAAGTAAGTGTAAAAGTATGTGCGAAGTATATGTAAAGTTTAATGTGAGGTATATGTAAAATATATGTAAAATATATAAAGTACAGTAAAGTACAGATATGTACATTAAACTCTCGAAACAAAGGTTTCAAAGAGTTTATATTCATAATGTACGTTAAAGAAATCGAAATCATCCGATTATTATTATATCTTTTGACCATAAAATCTGCACGTTTTGAAGACGGTTTGATTTTCTTCAATTTCTTTAACAAATTCTTCCAAGTATGAATCATACTGTTTAGGAGTGATTTCCAACTTTTTACAAATTTTATTACCATGTTGTTTAAAGGTAATTAACAAATCTTGCATTACCTAAAAAAAAAAAAAAATCAAACAAATAAATAAAAGAAATAAAGAAAATATCGAATATAATCAAATATATCAAATACTTAAAAATACTTACCAATTCACCGATAATGCCTCCCCATTTACCTACAGGTATATTGTTTGTCAGAATATTTGTATTCTTTAATTGATCACAATTTGAAGGTAATGAAGAAATTGTTTCGGATAATGAAGTATAATTTTCGAAACATGTTTTCACTAAAAAAAAAAAAAAAAGAGCGTTCGTTAATGTCAATCACCATGATTGATGATCGTCGTCGTAAAAGATACTATACTTAACTGGCAGAAATTAATTTTTGAGTGATATGACCAACTCTTTCATTCTCAAATTCCAAATTCCAAGTAGTTATTTCTAACCATGAGTCACATTTCATGATATTAATAATATCATTTATTATATCATTTTGACAAAATGAATGTTCGTTATGCATATGTTCAATAAAATTTATATGTATATAAGAAAATGTTGAAGGAGGGAAAGGTAAATATTCGGGTTTATTCGCGAGAAAGAATTTTGTATTTTTTGGCCTTATTTCAGAAGGAAAAATTGGTATCAAATCGATTCCTGTAAAAGAACATCTTGAAAATTCTGTAGCCATATCCAAAATCCAAGTACCTGGGCCACATTTGATTTCGAGAGCATTCACACTTCCAGATTCCAATAAATCTCTAATCGGGGAACTAAAATTACCCTTCCAGATATGTTTGAGTAAGTATTGTTGCGAAACAATTCTATCGATTGTTTCGGAGTTATACTTTATATCAAGATCTTTTACATTATTCAATTCAGAAGTAATCAAATGTAAATGTTTTAATTCACTCTCGCTTGCAAAAGATTTTTGTTTATGATGATGATTTTTAGGTGTCATCTTTTTTGATTGTTGTACACCCATTTTTGAAATTTAATTTATAAATTTTTTTCAAAAAAAAGGAGAAAGAATGTGATTTAAGGTATAATCAAAGGAAGAGAAAGACGATAATCTTTAAAGGATGGTTTGGTAAAAAAAAAAGAAAAAAAAAAGAGGGAAAGAAGGAAAGAAGGATTGATTATCTGTCAAAATTTTAATATTTTAAAGTGAATTTTTTTCAGAGTTCGATTTTAGTCGGTTTTTATATTGTTTGAACATAACAAAGGTTTTTACCGAATATATATCAGTTATATAAATTTTCTTTTTTAAATGTAATACCTTTATTGCATATATTGTCAAAGTATATTATTAAAATTAGGAATATATTTTTATTTTTTATAAAAGTATAAGTATATGCATGGGCAGGGTATAAATATTTGTTGTGTATAAATCTTACGACCAAAATCTTCATTGATAAGAGATCTAGGACCGAAAGGGTAAAATTTTAACCGAATTTATCTTAAAACCTTTTAACTCAAATACACTTTCGACTCTAATCCTTTAAGTTCTTAATCATTAGATAAATCAACTCCGGATTCTCTATACTAAGAAAGGTTAAAAAAACTTTTTTATTTCTTTTACTTGGATCTCTTTGTAATAATTTTGATTCATAACAGGAAAATTTTTTGGTTGGGTAAAATAAATTATTTTTATCTTAATAAAGTAACAAAACAGAGTTATATGATATTTATTAATTTGGGTTCATTGTCAAAAAAAGTTATTTCAAATTTGTTTTTTATTTTTTATTTTCTTTTTTTTACCATTCATATTTTAAACCAATTTTGGACATAATCCATTGTCTTTATTTCTTAGTTATTCATGCTTTAATATATCATTATTTCGTTTGTTATCCATGTTTTATTAATAAAAATGATTTTTTTTTGTTTTTCTCATTCTTTATTTTTTTTAGAATGAAAATAATTTATTTCGTGCTCATTTTCGGGTATCGTCATTGCATAGTCAAGGGTACCCATACAGAAGATCTTTCTTTAAACTTTAAATTACATAAATTACATAATTGTTTAAAAAAAAAATGAATTTGCATTTAAAGGAAAATTTTTTATTCAGATAAACAAATTTAGAATAATATAATAAATAATTGACCGAATTTAGTAAATTTATATAGAAAAAAATAATCGGGTTCTCGATTCAGTTTATTTTGATAAATCATTCATGCAGAGTAATTTTTGATATTACATAATTTCAATATGAAAATATAATAATATGGATAATATGGATGATAATATGGATAATATGTACTTTTTTTTTCACTCAAAATAAATTGAATCTTAAAAAAAAAATTTTTTAAACACGAATTATAATTAAAACACCTTTTTTCGTTAGTTATTCCTTTCAATAAACAATAGTAAAATTATTATTTATTTATTATTTTTTTTTTTTTTTCGATAAACAGAAAATTTGGTAAATCCTTTTTATTTTTTTTAATATAACTATTATTGAATTTGTATTAAGAATTGTTATACATTTACATTTTACATTTTTTACCTGTTATCTTAACTGTTGTTCTAATATATCTTATATTATTGTACTGTTGTAGCTAGCTTTTATATTTTTTTATATTTTATCACTTTAAAACTGTGCTTTATTAAATTATTCGGAGTTTTTTTTACTTTACTCATTTTACTCGTGTGTGTGTATTTCATTCCCCCCATAACTTAATATTACCAAAAATGTTCAAAAATGAAATTTTTTTACAAAATTTATCTGTATAATGCAAACCTCGTGCTTATCTATGCTGCGGGTATGATCGTAATACTAAACTTGTTTAGTTGGCGTTAAAAATGTAATAATCCAAAATAAACATTGAGTCACAATATCATTTTTTTCGAAGAAAAAATTATTTTTTTATTTCGATAATCGATAATAATGAAACTTGATCATGTGGAAACATAAACTAACCTTTTTTTTTTTTTCCTTATCTTTTTGAAAGATTTTCTGTTCAAATTTACTTTTGAATAATTTTTGATATACATAAATAATATTATAATACATAAAATAATACATAAAAAATATTATTATAATACTAAAAATATTATAATACATACATAAAAAATATTATAATAATACATAATACATAATAATAAATACATAAATTTGTATAATACATTAAAAAAATTCTTGTAAAAAATTCTAGCTATCAAATTTATTTTTACCCGACATATTACTCATTACTCTTCATGTACATTGATAATCCTTCTAAATAAACAAAAAAATAAAAAAACAACTCACCCTGACTTTTTTATTTGTATTACAAAAAACTTTAATAAAGTAAAACCTTTATCCCCCTGTTCTCCGTTTTTGGGTAAAAATACTTCTTGTATAATAACCGATAGTGCATATATATAAAAAAAAAAAAAAAACATTCTATGAAAAGAATTTTTTATCGAATTTTATTAAGTCTATTAAAGTCACGTTTTTTTTTTTTTTTGATTAAAAACTTAAAGTAAAAAATATCACGTGAATTATTCGTATTTTTTACCAAAATTTTAACATTAAATTCCATAAATTTCATAAATTCTTGTAAGGAGTTAAAAAAAGGGATTATTATAAATTTACAATTATATCGCGGATTATACTAATAAAATTTTAAATTACAAATGGTTACCAAACAACACATCATCTGTGGTTTTATTTTTGAAACGCTAAAAACATCTAGATTTTTTTTTTTAAAAAGAAAAAATATTTATAATTATTTATGCGGAAACTGTAAATAATGAAATAATATAATGTAAATAAGACAAAAAAAATTAATAATTTACGTACTGCTGGTGGCTTGTGTCGCTGACTCATTTACCTTATTACTTGCTCTTTGATTTAGGAATGTTTAGGAACGTTATGCAGTTATCTTATGGAGGAATTATAAAAAATCATATGAAAATTAGACAAATTTATCGACATTCAGTATGTAATGCCATTTGCTGATTGCTTAACAATCATTTTAATCATTAAAATCATTAAAATCATTTTAATAATTTAATCGTTTTAATAATTTTAATAATTTTAATCATTTTAATAATTTTAATTTTTTAATCATTTAATTATTTTAATAATTATTTTAATCATTTTTTTTTTTAAAAGAAAAAAAAATTCATCTTAATATAAAATATCATTTAATATTTTTTTTTTAAGAAAAAAAGGTCATTATTAGTGACGGCTATCTATATGTTTAATATGTTTAATATGTTTAAAATTCGTCAAATCTTCATATTAATTAATGATATTTAAAATACATATAATAATACATGTACCAGTATGACTTATTTTGCGAATACGTATTAATACGTATTCATACGTATTAATGGGATTAATGGGATTAACAGTTAATGGGATTATTCCGCGAAGTGGAACTACTCTACTGTAGGTCACCAATTATCATAATGTTTTTCTACATATATATATATATCCCTTAAATATATATTGTATATATTTCCATTTTCCCTTAAATATATATATATGTTTTCCCATTTTCCCTTAAACATTTATATATGTTTTCCCCTTAAATATATACTGCATTTCTCTTTAATATATACATTTTCCTTAATATATACTGTTCCCTTAAATATATACTATATATACTGCATTTCCCTTAAATATAAAGGATGTCATAACCACATCGAAATTGTTCGAAATACTTTAAATACTACTTGTCTTCTACAATGATTCGCGGGTATCACGTGCTAATACTTTGACATATCTAAAATAAAATATCAGTAAAGAATAAAATAACTGCGTCCGAGTTGCCACGTTTTTCTAAACCTGTAATTTCGGCACAAAAAAAAAAGATTTTCGTATAAATTATCCGATGGTATAAGTAAGTATACCTGGTAAAAATGAATGAAAGGGAATGTAAAATAAATAACATTCGAATTATCCGATTAGTTAGAGATTTTAACCTTATTTATTAATATATATATATATATATTTTTTTTTTTTTTAAAAAAAAAAAAAAGATTTTTGCCATACCAAAATTAATATTTCCCGAATAAATAATACAAAATATATACATGATATAAAAGTTGATTTCAAATCACTTTAAAAAAAAAAAAGGATCAATATATATTTAAGGTTAATTCTTTTTGAAAATATAATGTTTTTTTTTTTGACACCACAGATTCGTTTATTTTTTTAAAAAACTTAATTTCTAAATTATTATTACCGTAAAGGTTATTTTTTGCCATAAAGGTCACAAATTATCTCACATGGTTACGTGCGTGTGAAATGTTGAACCCGTTTTTTTTTTAAAAAAAAAACAATCATGATTATTGTTTGGCAAGATGTGAAACAAGTTGACTTTGTAAACCTGATTATATATATCTGATTATATATCAGATATAATATATTCCATTTTAAGCATATCAATTCACTCAATTATTTAAAGATTAAAGTATTGATTATATTAATATCTATCCCATAACGCGTTATTGATTCATTTATACAAACATGGATACTTTATCAACACATGGTACAGGAAACAATTATAATAATAATATTTATTATTTATCTTTGTGTAATTTTTTAATTATAAAATATATATGTATAAATTTTTATAATAAATATAGTTAATATTTTTTTTTTTTTTATTTATGAATACATATTAAGACAAGATCAAATTTTTTTTTTTCAAAACAATGGATCCAAAATCAATCAACCTTTTTCTCTCAGTAACACTGATTCTTAACTTTGATTCGTTTATATATAATAATAATACAGTAAAAAATTAGTATAATTAATATAATATTCATTTACACATCTTAAACATCTTAAAATTATTGAAACTTAAAAAAAAAAATTATAAAAAAAAAATATTTTATTTATTCAACAAGAATAAATTATATTGAACCTTTTGAACACACAAATAATATTTATTAAAACAAAAAGTACAACTTTGTTACGTTTAAATACGGTCAACTTTGAAAAGAACGAGAAAATTCTTTTTCATATTTTACATATTTTACGTATCCAAATTAATGCTCATTTTATTCATTTTATTAAAAAAAAAAAAAATACCAGTTTTTGAACATGGTAATCAATAAATTAATATTCATTCACAAATATTTTTTTTTTTTTAAAAAAAATCATTTCGGTTGTTAATAAGGTTTAAACTTTAAAAATAAAAAAATTTTAAACGTTATCTTAATTGAGATATGATTTACACGGTGGCTCGACTCATGTGACATGAAAATCTTTAATGTTTTGAAACGTGGTACGTTTGACCTGTTCATACTATGCCTTTTCGGTAGAATGTTCGGGAAGCCTGATTTTTTTTTTCGCGGTCATTTAATTATTTGACACAAAATGAAAATGACTTAATTTCTTTTTATTTCCACGCACGATTGTTACAGAAAGTATGTAAGAATTAAATCTTAAAAATTGAATCACATAATTACCAAATTGATTTCATGTTTTTAATCTTTAAAAATAAAAATAATATATACTGTAAAAAATAAAATATTGTATTTTATCTTTTTTTTATCACCTTTTTTTAATATTTCACGAAAAAAAAAAAATTATTATTATTTTATTATTTTTATATTATTATTATTATTATTATTATTATTATTACTTTTATTTTAGCCATTTTTATTTTTTTTTTTTATTTATTTATTTATTTATTTTTTCTTTCTGTGATCAATTATTAGAAATTATCACACAGATAATTTGACAAATCTGAATAAAAATTTTAATTCCTATTATTTGTTTGTTTATTATTATTTTTCTTTCTACGATAAATAATAAAAAAATTGACAAATAATAAAAAAAATTGACGGAATAAAGATAATGAATTTAATTAAAATTTTAAATAGAGTAAAATTGAATAGCAGATAGAATAAAATAAGATTCAATAGAAAATAGAATGGGATTCAATGGAATATAATAGGATTCAATAGTGAATATAAAATAGGATTCAATAGAGAATATAATAGGATTCAATAGGGATTCAATAGAATAGGATTCATAGAATTGAATTAAATAAATAAATTAGAATAAAATAAATTAAAATAAATTAAATTAGAATTCAATAAATTCAATAGAATAAATTAGAATAAAAAATAAAATTCAATATAATAAATTAAAATAAAATAAAAATTAAATAATTAATATAAATCATCAAAAAAAAAAAACAATAAAAGAAACACACAATTCAAGTAACCATTCCATTAAGGTAATAGGCGGTAATAGGCGACAAATTTTGTGATAAATGACTTGAATAATAATTAAACTAATTTATAGAATACTTTTTTCCGTCAATAATTAAATTAATTATTATTGAATGAATGAGATATTTGGATGAGATATTTGGATGATATTTGGATGAGAATAAAAAAATCTTAGTGAACCCCACTTTATAACGAAGCCATGAAATCGAAACCAAAAAAAAAGCCCTAGATTTTTTAACGAAACAAAAACTGTAGATTTTTAATGAAACCAAAAAAACTCTATTTCTAAAAAAACTCTAAACGAAACCAAAAAAAATCTATTTTTTAAAAAAAAAACTCTAGATTTTTTAACGGAACCGAAACTGTATATTTTTAATGAAACCAAAAAAACTCTATTTTTTTAAAAAAATAATTGTTTGACGAAACCAAAACTTAAATTGTAGATAACGAAGCCAAAAACTGTAAATTTTTAACGAAACCAAAAAAAAATTGTAGATAAATCAAAAAAATTTATTTTTAAAATTTTAGAAAATTAAGAAAATTTAAATTTTTTTTAACAAATCCAAGGAAATTTAAAAATCCAAGAAAATTTAAATTTTTTGATGAAACCAAAAAGATTTAAATTTTTTAACGAAACCAAAAAAAAAAATGTAAAAAAACTATGCGATTGGATCCTTTCCAGTCCTGAGTAAAAAAAATCAGATGCAATGCATATTAACTTGATGTATTTTTGCGTGTATTAGATATTGTATTTAAATGTACTAGAGATGTACTAGATGTACTTGGATGTATTTGTCATCATATACTACATGTATTGCCATGTACCATATTTTATAAACAGTTAAATTTTTAAATTTTTTTGAGTTTATTAACCAAATATATATTTCATTTTCACCGTTTTCTCTAATACTACTTGTATCTTTTTTACAAATTCGTTAATTCGTTCGTAATAATGTTATAATATTAATGTTTCATTCATTTATTTGTTTATTTATTTATTTCTTTATCTCGCTTTTTTTTTTTTCGAGAAATACAAAAATTTATTGAATGAAAATAAATAATATTTGATAGTAAACATGCAATTGAAGATCATCATCAAATGTTTGAATACCTTCAAAGGTACTCAACAGGTGTCAAAGCCTCTTGAAATTTCCCAAAAATGAGTGTAAATAAAACTACACTCATGCATCATAAAGCATAAAGTTTAAAATAGTGATACCGTGTACCACAGAAAAAAAATCAGGACCTACAGAGTATCTTCAATCTTAAAATACCAAATTCTTTTTACAATGAAAATTTTTTTTATTATTATTGTTATTATGATTAAACTTGTCGAAAAACGGGATTCTTTTAAAATAAACAACAACAAAAAAAAAAAGAAAGAAAATTTTTTTTTATTCAAACTCCAAAACTCCGAAATTTTATCGAGTCATGACCATGAATATCTATCTCGATTATTATTAGCGATTATAGTAAAAATATAGCGATTATAGTAAAAGTATTAAGCTTATTAAGCTAACTAACCAAAAGAATTAAAAAGAATTAAGAATTTTTTTTTTTTTTAAATGAATTCAATATATATTATGATACCCGTATGTAAAACTACGTTATGTATACGCCGAATATTTATTTAAACTGCGCCTCGTACTACCATAACTGTTATTTGTGAAAGTTTCACAAATTCACAAAGTGGCGTGTGATAATTGTTACACATAGCGTCATCTAATATAAATGTCATAAGCAAAGCGAAACTGATAACTCTTTTTTCATTTTTTTTTTTTATTTTAAAAATTTTCATTATATTTTTTTTTTTTTTATAGTAGATAAAAGAATAATATAACTTAATAATATAATTTTTAAAAATATAAATTTAAAAATATATCTTTTGAATTTTTAAATAAAGAATTTTTTTTTTAAAAAAAAAATTATTTTTAATGTTGTAATGAGCCTTACAAATTTATTTATTTTGTTAAAAATTATTACACAACATTTGACTTTTTTTTTTATTGTACCTTTATAGGTAAAGATAACAAACATGATAATACTAATTCGTATTGTTCATTGTCATTCATTCTTTACTTAAACGGAGAGAACTAACAAAGATCAAGTTGTTGTAAGTTATTGTAAGTTGTTGTAAGTTGTTGTAAATTGTTGAGAGATGTTGAGAGATGTTGAAGAGCTGTTGAAGAGCTGTTGAAGAGTTTTTGTAATGGTTTAGCTAAAATTAAAAACATACTTGGTGAAAAAAAAATCGGATATAATGAGCAATTAAGGTAATGACTATGAGAAAAAATTTAGTTAGTAACAGCTGCATATTGAAGAGATAAATTGTGAATATCAACCGGAATAAAAAGGAAATTGATAGGATTAGTGGAAAAATCGGAGAAACATCAAACGAAAAAAATAACCAAAAAAGTATGATAACCGAGAAGGGGAATGATGGGCGGAAGTTGTATTGACTTTCCGTCATCTTGCTTAACATTGTTATTCAGATGATGGATCAAAATATTTTAAATAAAAATGATGATGAAACTCATAAAGGAGGGGAAAAAGTCCAAAAAGAGGTGAAAGTAGTCCCAAAGTGATATAGATAAGGTAATTTGAGTAATTGAAGTTAAGTCTCGTAGAAGCATGATGAATAATTGGAATGCAAGAATTATTAATTTAACAGGTAATTTATTATACAAATAATACCTGTAAAGTTTCACAAAATAAGTACTGAATAAGTTAAACAATTTAGTTTCCATGGTTCACAATATGATTATATGATTGGCGAGGGAATTATTATTACGCGACCTTTTGACCTTTTACGACCTGTTAATAAAAAATTTTGATAATCATCCAAAGTTGATGTTGGTGATAGTGGCGCAGTTTGGAAAAGGGAAATTGACGTAAACGCGACAGAATTTAGTGATTATTATGAGTATTTAAATCAGATGATCATGTATATTTCGTGTTGTATATACAATTTATATGTTGTATATGTTGTATATATATATTAACAAGTTATCACTTTTATCTTTCAAAATATTACATTATTACGCCAATATTACTTTTTTAAATTTATAATTTATGTGTGCGCATGATGTTAAACAATAAGTTGTCGATAACTTAATAACCATATCGATAAGTCCTTATTGTTTAATCCCATAATGAGGTATAATCACTTAATTATTTAAAAATTCGGTTAAAGATAATAAAGAAAAAACGTTTTTTTTTTTTTTTTTTCTTTGCTACTTTTTTTGTTTCATCATTTGTTTCAAGGAGGAGAAAATAAAACGAGAACTAATATAAATATTTTAATCTGTTTATTCTGTAAATGGTTAATTAGACGGACATTACGGGCATATGTCCCGCGAAACAAAAAAAAAAAATTTTTTTTTTATTTTTTTTTTTTTTTCACTCACTTTTTATACTTTTACCCCTTTTATTATAATAAAAATAGTA